TTGGTCAGCCGAAGCGCGTAGAGGCACGGTGAAAACAAATTCCAATTAAGTTGCAGTTTGAATCTAATTCTGATGAATTTGTGCTTGATGACAACATATTAGCTAAACTCGGACCTGAATTCAGTGTAAGTTGATTTAATATTCTGTATGTAAATTCTTTTCTTTTTACTCCAATCTGTAATATTTATGTCAACAATATTGAAATCTTTGCCCTTCTTAATTCCGTCAAAAGATTGAATATTTGAGTTCTAATTGAAAAGCCCTTTTAATTTGAATTTCAGTGTGTGCTTTCTCTGTAGTTTTTGATTTAGGTGTATAATTTTTGTGTGTGCTAATTGTAATAATCCCAGGTATCATATTTCAGTTGTCAGAGAAAAGAACCATGTTTACTAGATTAATCGACGTCGAACAAAATCGAAAGTAATTAGTGGATTAAGGATCTATCTAAATCAAAAGTAACACTCACTAATATAGAAATTTAAGACTTTGTTTCTGTCGTCACAGCATTACAATCATCATGCATTCTAAAAAGTAATAAATAACGAAATAGCTTCGACATTAATTAACTAATCGTCCCCGAATAAATCCCAGATTTTTTGGCCCGCATAAGTTTCGGCACGACGAATAATAAAAAAGAAAATCTGATACTCGAGGAAAATCAAAAGGAAAACTGAAAAAAAATATTAAACTGCGTAGAGCAAATTTAGCGAGGCTGGAGAGTTGTGCCCTAGGTTCACAACACTACAATCACCATGCATTTTAAAAAGTAATAAAAAACGAAATTAATTAACTAATCCTCCCTGAATAAATCCCAGATTTTTCGGCCGTTATAAGTTTCGGCACAAAGAATAATAAATAAAATATTCAGATCCTCGAGGAAAATAAAAAAGAAAACTGAAAAAAAATATTAAACTGCGTAGAGCAAATTCAGCGAGGTTGGAGAGCTGTGCCCTAGGTTCACGGCATTACAATCACCATGCATTTGAAAAAGTAACAAAGAACGAAATAGCTTCAAACATTAATTAACTAATCCTCCCCGAATAAATCCCAGTTTTTTCGGCCCTCATAAGTTTCGGCACGACGAATAATAAAAAAAAATTATGATACTCGAGAAAACTCAAAAGAAAAACTGAAAAAAAAATATTAAACTGCGTAGAGCAAATTCAGCGAGGTTGGAGAACTGTGCCCTAGGTTCACAACATTACTATCACTATGCATTTTAAAAAGTAATAAATAACGAAATAGCTTCGACATTAATTAACTAATCCTCCCCGAATAAATCCCAGATATTTCGGCCCTCATAAGTTTCGGCACGACGAATAATTAAAAAAAAAAAAATTCTGACACTCGAGGAAAATCAAAAGAAAAACTGAAAAAAAATATTAAACTGCGTAGAGCAAAATTCAGCGAGACAAGAAAGATGTGCCTTAGGTTTGTAGTGCTGGAACGTCAATTACAACATCTTGGTTAGATCCGTCAAGTTCGTTTCTCGTACCTGATTGTGTTGTCGTTGAAGCTTTAGTTGACACTTGTTTCATGTTCCTTCGGCTTCGATAGAGTTCGTTGAGATGCCTAATTGTGAAGTAGACAACGGCAAATGCTAGAACGACAAATAACCGTATAACGATGTTCTTATTCAAGACCGTCAAAGTTGCCCCGAGCGCCATAGACAAAATGCCGTCGAACAGACAATTGTTTTCGTAAAAAGCGATAAAGTTGGCCATCAGAATGATGTGAAAGCATAAAACGTAGGAATTGGCCAACGCCCAACCATCAGTGACGCACTGTCCTATATACGTGCTTAACACGAATAGTACTGTGTCCATAAGCCAACTCATGCCACGGGTTTTAGCCAACGGAGTTTGTTGTTCCATTGAGGCTGTTTTCTGACCCGTTTTCTGCAGTTGTTGACCCGTTTTCTTCAGTGTTTGACCAGTTTTCTGCAGTTGTCTCCCCCACAGCTGGATTTTTAATTCCTAGCGAAGGATCTGTGGCATCAGCAGGTGTTAGAGTTCTCAACTCAACACCAACCATTTGTTCTTCTTGATCACTTGCAACAACATTTGCTCTATTATCCGCCATTTCTGTTTCCAAATTTCTTTAGCTGTTGGAACCTTGTCCGCAAACCCTAGTTTATAGGGTTTATAGTGGTTACTCTCAATATATATATATATATATATATATATATATATATATATATATATATATATATATATATATATATATGTATGTGTGTATGTATATATGTATATATATATATATATATATATATATTTTTATTTATATATATATATCTATATATAAATTTCGCTATCGAAATGTATCGCGCGAACAAGCTGTCGAACTAGAGCGCGAGCGAGAGCGTTCGCGAGAGAGAAAGTAACAAAGGTGTATAGCGTCTCGTATGTTTTTATCTAAATACTCTACATTCATACTCTCTATAAAACACTAGTATTTTACATATCTGGATATATATATTTATATACACTCCCTCAAACAAGCACTCTTGTTTTTGATAACCCTCTAAAACAAGTACAAAAAACCAAACACACACAAAAACACAAACATGTTTAAGATGTGTAGTGAGATAGTGAGTGAATAAGTAAGCCACCGAATGTGATAGTGAATACAATATTGCGTCTGGGGGCAGCTAAATAGATAAGTAGATATCTCTCTATGTCTGTATATATGAATTGGACAAGGAGGAAACGACAGAAAAAGGGGGGGAGAGGGAGAGGGGGGCGACGCATATC